ACAGTCCAATATGCGCAGAGGGCCCGAGCAATCCAGAGCAAGCCGCGGATCCAGCAGGTGGAAGAGGGGGACAAGCAGGCCATTATTGACCGCTTGAAGGCGGAGGTGGCCTTCTTGCGTGAGCAGATCCGGAGCGCGGAACGCGGTGGGGGTGAGAGGCGCACCCCTGCGACAGGCGAGAGGTCCGAGCGGCATAACGAGCGGGAGGCCGAGCTACAGAACCAGCTACTGGACTCCCAAGAAAACTATACCACACTCAGTCAGCGGCATGCGAAACTGATTGCCGAGATGGCTAAGGCCAGGGATAATGAGTTCTCCGAGAACCAGCAGCATGAGGACACCCTGGGCGACACGGCAACGGAGCGGTTAAATCGTTCAAACAGTTTCGCCCAGGCTGTCGAGCAGGTCGTTCTCGAGTATGAAAAGACCATCCAGTCGCTGGAGCAGTCGCTGTCTAGTACTCGTGCCACTCTCTCCAGCACCGAGACGTCACTGCTTGAAAAGGAATCTAAATGCGCTTACACCGAGACCATCAACACCCAACTCCAGGCACGCCTGCAGAAGCTGATGGATCGCGAGGCTAGCACCGAGAACTACCTTCATGATTTGGAGTCGAAGCTCGACGGCCATACGTCGGGCGAAGAGAAGAATGCCACTATTATCACGGAGCTGCGCAAGGAGATCGCGCGGGTACGTGAGAATGAGGCTTCATGCGAAGATTACATCTCGACTCTAGAGGAGCGGCTGGCAGAGGCTGACCAAGATGCTGAGCTCATGCAACGTGAAATCGACCGACTGGAGCAGGTGATCGAACGACAGCGGAGTCTTGGTAAGCTGGACTCTTTGCTGTACGAGCTTGATCACATCCAGCAGGACGCCAAGCCAGAATCCGAGCCAGAAGTGGTCAACGGCGCTGGCCACCGACGAGTCAACAGCCGCGGCTTCGCAGATCACTCACGTAGCCAAAGCCACGTCAGTCGCCTTTCTCACAAGGAGGAGCCTATTCCAGAGAGCGGCGAGGAAGACATTGAGGAAGAGGCAGAAGGCCAGGAATCTACGACGAACGGGTCACCTGCCGGACCTACGCCCAAGCCTTCCAGAGCGGCCCTTGAAGTGACTCCGGAAGTGCCGGAGCAGCCGGCAAGCCCTGCTCAATCCAAGTTTGTTGCCGATAAGCTCGAGACAGTTACGCAGGAGCTCCTTGGGCTTCGCGTCGAACACGAGACAACGCTGAGCGACTTTGATCTGCTCCATGCCAAGTATGAGGAAGCTCTCCGGGCGCTCGCAGAGCTGCAAGATGCGGTCGACGAGGCTAAGCACCCCGGCCGGCAACGCGACTCGATGCTGTCTGTGACCTCGCCGACACAGACGAGACCACCGTCTTTCCTGTCCGATGCTAGGTCGAGCGAGCCAAAGGATGGCGGTCGCTTCTCATCGCGCTCGCTTTCTTCGGAGCTCACATCGGCTATGGAATCTCCTGCCACTGTACAAGACAGTTCGGACACCGAGAGCACCGTCCACAATTCGGACACACCCCATGTTTCGGCCGAAGACCTGTCAAGCGGCGGTGATCTCACCACCGAACTGCATCGTTTGAAATCGATCGCGGCAGCGAAGGAGTCCGCAGAAAGAGAACTCGCGGAAAAGTACGCTCAACTAGAAGCCAAGCACCACGAAACCCTCGATATTGTTGAGGAGCTCAAGACAGAGGTCGCCAAGGCTCAAGCTGCCACGAACGATGCTTCCTCGCCACGAAGCAGTACGCCGGTGATCCGACGCAAATCCAGCCAGAATGTGATGATCATCGACCGAGCCCACCGCTCCTTTGCCTCTCTCCGTAACATAGCAGCCGAGAACTTTGAGGCGCAGCCAGATGTGATGCAGAATTTCGAGCTCAATCTTAACGCCGCAATGCATGAGCTCCACGCCAGGTCCGAAAGAATCCAGGAACTGGAAGCCGACGTTGCTACCGCCAAGAAAGAGATGGAAACCAAGATGACGATCATCACTGGACTCACCAGAGAACGGTCGAGCTTGAAGGCGTCACCAATGGACATGGCCGTGGTCTCTAGTTTGAGAGAACAGCTGGAGAAGAACGAGAAGCAGCTGAAGCATATGCAGGAGGCTCATGCCACTCGTGAGAGGGAGCTCGAGGCTCAGCTCGAGGAGCTGCGCAGGACTATGAAGGTCGCTTCTGAGTCGGAGAATGGACAGGCTGATGCGCCCAAGGACCAACTTCAACAGGCACCGAGCGACAGCAGGATCGCTGAGCTCGAGGCTGAACTTGTTAGCTGGGAAAGCAAGCACCAGACCGCTTTGGAGTCGATGCGCTCTACTGAGGTAGAGATGAAGAAGACCATTGAAGAACTGGAGGCTCAGGTCGCTCAGCTTAGCCAGTCTAAGGAGGAGGATGTTGGCAGCGATGGCGAAGGTGCTGAGGAGAAAACGAAGCAGGAGAACCTCATTAGCTTCTTGCGGAGTGAGATTGACGAGTACAAGGCCATTATCAACAGCAACGCTTCAAAGGTCTCCGAAGTCGAGCAGCAACATAACCAAACAAAGGCACTGCTCGAATTTGCCACCCGAGATCGCGATCAGGCTACTTCGGAAGTAGAAAACCACAAGGAGCTGGTTCAGAAGCTCGAGGCGCAGATCTTCAACCACGAGGAGGCGATCAAGACCCATCAAGCAAGCCTAGACGAGCTCCAAGCTAACCATGCGAAGGGGGTTGATGAGCTCCTGGCCAAGCATGATATGGATATCGATGACATCCACGCGGACCACGCCAAGGAACTCGATGAAGTCAAGGCCTCCGCCAAACAGGAGTACGACTCGCAGTTGGCTGCCCTCACGTCTAAGCATGCGGAGAGCCTCAGGGCGCTTGAAGCGGAGCTTACTGAAGCCCGCGAGGACCTGATGAAGGTTGCCACGCAGGTTGCGTTTGCCCTTGGCCTCGACGTCAGCGTCGAGAGGATCAGTGAGCGCATCCAGGATCTGATCAATGACCAGCAGGAGCTTGCGCAGGAGCAGAGGAAGAGGGCGGAGCTCCAGACGCATGTGAACGACTTGACGAGCATCAATGACACCATCATGAGGGACCTGGAGATTGTGAAGGCGACGCTGGCTGAACTTCTCGGAGACAATGCGCAAAAAGCCCCGATTTCGTCCGTTTCTGAGCAACTGGCTGTTGTGAAGAAGAGGATGACGGATCTCGAGAACAAGAACAAGAAGAACTCGCGCCTCGTTGAGGAGTTGGAAGACCAACTGCAGAACAACTTCGACCAGGTGCAAATGACCAACAACCGGCTGTCGACACTGCAGTCGGAGAAGTCTGCTCAGCTAGATGAAGCGAACGCTGCAAGGAAAAGGCTGCAGTCCGAGCTGGATACTATCAAGGAGGAATATGCCTCGCTTCAAGTAAGTTGGCCGGAGAGTTGTGTTGTCGATCCAGAGCTAACCGTTCGACAGGCTAAGTTCGAGGCTGAGGGCCTCCACCGTAGCAATTCCATCAGCGGTGCAAACGGAGCGCCTCTCCGCAAGAGTGCTTCGGTCTCCTCTCTGCCATCGCCGCCACCAGCTATTCCCCTCCCGCCATTGCCTGGCTCTTCGGCCCCCTCGCCACCCAATGTTCCAGGCCACCCTGCCTCGCCTACTCCCCGGCCAGCCAGCAAGGATATTGCCTTCTCACAGATTCAAGAGGATCAAGAAGCGCGGATCCGTACAATCGAGAAGCATCTCTTTGCCGAGAAGCAGCTCACGCAGACACTGGAGGAGGCGCTTACCGACCTCGAGCGTCAGCAAAAGAAGCTCAAGTCCGACTGCGACGCCTGGCGGCGCCGAGCCAGCGACCTCGAAACCGAGCTCAAGGAACTCAAGGAAAAGCCGCAGCAGGACAACCGGTGGAGCCTGCACCAAGTGGAGGAGGAGCGCAAAAAGCGCCGCGACGCCGAGATCGCGCGCGCGAACCTGGAGGAGCGCATGAACGCAATCTCCAAAAAGAAGAAGAAGGGCAGCCTGAACTGCTTCTAGAAGGGGTCTGTTTGGAAGCCCATTGTCGCAGTGGGCGTCGGTGTGGCGCTGGCAGTTTTGGTGTGCTTCCTGTTCGGACACTCCGTGTTCGACGTCTCCCTTTACGTATCGCCCTGGTTTGCTCGCCCGCCCGTCGCTTTTTGATACCATCCAACGCAGCATGTTATACGCGCACGGAGTTGACGGCCACCCATACCCCTTCTTGTTTTTTCGTTTCTTTTGTTTGTGATATTACGGTGGATACATTGAAAGAGACGTTGATTACCACGCTGCCCACGCGCGCAAGCATATCGCGATTGACCAGCTCTGCAGCCTGATTCCATGTTTTGTTTTGAGTCTTTTTTGCTCTCTTTATATAATTCGGACAGATGAGCATCGTCACGACATATTAAGAATGAGAATGATGGTGCGGGAAGATGTGCTTTGGAGGCGGACAGAAGAGAAACCAGCTTGGCCCTGCGGGATTGCACACATACCACTGAACTACAATTCCATGATATCATGTATTCAGCTGCATGCTTCTCGACGCTTTTGCTTGTCTACCTTATATCAATCATGCATCTGCTGTGCCTTTATTGCCCTCATAGGTGTGCGCTGCCTACCTCGTCTCTTGTGTCAAGTGTCTTTACATGATCAACTTATTTTTTTAAAGCTGCCGTTGACACAACTGCCGCCTTTCTGTCTCAGCATTTGGAGGTTAAGAGTCTCCGCAGGACAGCAGTTGGCATTAATAACGACTGGCCTCAGCCAATATACAAGAGCAACTGATGCAGAGCTCTTTCGCTAGTCTCCAGCTCTCGGTAATACCGATACTACAAAACAAAACGGACACAGGAACGAGCACTCGAAGCACCTGTACAGAACGGACCCCAAACCCTCGCACATCATAGCCGTCGCCACTTGCTTCAGCCACTCGGGACAGCAAAAAGAACCTGCGACAGCTTCAGACTGTCGACAACGGCAAAAGGATACTCCCCCACACAGGTTTGAACTGTGGACCTCCTGATAAACTGCTTGTCCGAGGACGGTAACAGTCAGACGCTCTAGCCAACTGAGCTATGGAGGAGATGATTTGCCGTGGTTGGCTGTTGATGTTCGGCCATGCGGTATTTTGCATGATCAAGTTTGTGTGGGATGGTGTGGGTTTTAGCATTGGTTTTACAAATAGTGTGGGTCACGAAGGTTAAATACGAATTACTACTTCGTAAGTGGGCGGGAATGGAGTGTGCTGACATGTAAGTCGGAATCTTCAAGACCAGTCTATGGGATATTATAACCAAATGCACGACTAATGATAAAATGCTATTAATGCTCGCTATGGTATCAATGCAGCGAATGAATGAATCCACCACTCGGTCCCCCCCCTGCACCTACAGTACATGTTCCCCATGACCTCCTCATGACGACCCATTCCTGGCAAGCGGCCAGTTGTTCTTCGTCATCATCTGCTTCTTCTGGCCGCCCGTAATCACATTCAGCGTCCCAAACGGACTGACCGTCGTCCCAGCCCGCAGCCACTTATCCAGACTCGGGGGCGAATCCAGCCGCGACTGTCTCGCAGCAGCCTCGCTCTGCGCCTTCTCCTTCTCGTTGTCGAGACTATACTGACTCGTGGGACTACTCCCAGCTTCCACATCCCCTTGCTGCTGCTGGCCGGCTGATGCCTCCCTACTCTTCGGGAAAACGCTGTACTTCCCCTTCGGCGGCGTCTTGAGGTGGAAACTCGCCCTGTTGGCCCCGATGGCGGTCGCGAACCCGACTCGTTGCGTCTGCACCGCCGTCGGCTCGGGCTCCTTGATGTCCACGCCGTAGGAGCCTTTCTCGTAATCGCCGCCGCCGACACCGGTAGACGACCCCTGCAGTCCGGGGTACCCGATACTGTCGCCACCACGACTCCGGCCGACGGCGAGAGACCGTCGCACCCGTCTGCGCCGCTTGTACCGTAGCACGAACACGAACGCGGCGACGGTCAGCAGCGAGGAGCCGATGATGGCGCCTACTATAGCCAGCGCCGCCTGCGTGACGCTGACGGCCGCGCCTTGGGCTTGGAGGACGCGGTTGTCTGCCTCCGTCTGCACCATCTGTTAGCATCGCGTTTCTTTTCAGGAAAGGTAAACAGGTAAAACTCACCCTAACAGCAGTAGCATCCGCCTTGGCCGCCTGCACCAGACTCGCCGCCGAGCTCATGACCTGCTGCGCGCTCGTGCTCATGGCAGCCATGACGCTAGCGACGCTATTCGCCGCCGAGCTCGCGGCGCTCCTGCTGGCCGCCTCGGCCGCGGCGCTGGCGCTGCTCTGCGCCGAGGTCACGGCCTGGTCGGCGCTCTGGCGGGCCTGGTCCGCGTCACGCGACGCCTGCTGGGCGGCCTGGTTGGCCGCGTCGGCGCTCTGGCGGGCCGAGTCGGCCGAGGCGCGGGCCGAGGCGAGGGACTGCGCGGTCTGGGAGAGCTGTTGCTGGGCTTGCTGGAGGGAGTTGGAGAGTTGTTGGGAGGACTGGGAGACTTGTTGGCTCGCTTGGGAGACGGAGCGGAAGGATTGGGAGATGGATTGGATTTGGCCCGAGAGCTGCTGGATCTGGGCGTCGTTTTGGCGCGCGAAGAGGGCGAGGGAGGGGGGTGGGGTGATTTGGGGTGTTTGGGGGGCTCGCGCTGCTGGTGAGGGGGGTGAGCCTCTGCGGTGTTGGTGGTGTGGTTCTCGGGCGACGATGACTTTGATTTGCTCCTCTACGATCTGGAGCACCTCGGTCTCGACTTTCCTCCATAGGTCTTCCGCCCTTGGTGTCGGTCCATTTTGTCCTATTAGACCATTTCTTGGTAATATTTGCCTCCTTGAGAGGTCTCCAGTTGTCACCTCATTATTAGTCGTTGCCCAAGCACAGCTCGGGTATAGAAGTGAGAATAAGACAAGTCGTGATATTAAACTTTGTTTCCTCGCCATGGCTGAAGTCACTGACTGCTACCGATGTGTTGTTGGGAGACAGGTCGAGATGGAGATCATCTTTCAGCCAGAAGAATAGGCAAAATAGGCAAACAAAACAAAAAGAGAGGAAAACCAGGAAAGAGGAGACCAGAGACGGGAAGGCCGATAGGTAGGGTCTATATTTCAAATGAGAGGATCTCACGGCAGAGTCCAAACAGAGATCCCGAACGAACCAGGTCCATGGCGTTGCCCGTTTCTTCGTCTCCTTCGCATGCTGGGCTGTATGCTCGCCGTTGTTGAACAGTTCAGACACACAGGCCTGCGACACATCATGCCAACATTGCTTGACGTCCCTCAGACGAACGACATGCGTTCGGAGGATGGCGTCGCCGGAGGCCAGCATGGCAGTGACAGGATCGAGGACTGACAGTGCCAGTCTCCAATCAAGCTGCGAGCTGCAGGGTCCAGTTCCAAGTCCATTCTTAGCTAGCACAACTATGCTGTCTTCGTGACGGGCATATGTCGAGCAGTAAAAGGGTCCGTGTGCAAGTCTCAGAGGCTCAAATGCAGTCAAGCTTTTGCGGACCGTCCGATTTTCTGATTCGATTGAGCCGGGACGTGTTGTGCAATTGGCTGCAATCGGTGGTTTCCAAAGCGCACTGAAACCGAGAGACATTTATGCTGCGAACCCGTTTACCTGGTTCGCAGAGTTGATGTTTCACATCCTTGTTTGTTCTCCCCTTGCCCACGTAGATAGGTCAAAGCTGTCTCAGAAAAGCTTATGGTCCATGGTTGAACGATGTTGAGTGTTATGTATTGCCGCGATACTCGCAAATGTAATTGAGTATGTTGATGACAGTAACATCACAGTAGTCAAGTGTGCTGGGTCATCTCTCCTGTCGCGTCAGAGACTGCAATGAGATATTGGCAGCGCCGTCCACTTAGAGGCAGCTCATTGGGCTTCGGTGTTGATAATGGCCGCATGGAGAAAACATAAGTGACGGATTTCTCACGGAGACAGCAGACCTGTATCGCACATGGCAGCCAGGTTTAGTGACAGGTCGCGTAAGCCAAATGCCTCGTCGGCAGTGTCAGAGATCCGGAAGACTCATTCTCCTGTGGCGTCCAGAAACCATGGATCATGATGATCCAACTGCAGCCTTCGTTCATGCGCTGAGTTCACTTTGGCTACTTCACCCCTTTGGACCGCAGTCCATGGAAGAAAAAGGAAGCCTGACATTCTCGACGAGCTCTCGCCGCCTATATACACGCAGATTCCGTCTCCACTTGGGTATCTCTTCTTGGTGCAAAGAGAGGGCGGAGGCGGACCAAACCATCCGAAAACCGTGTGCCAACGCCTGCCATCCGACCATGCTCGTCTACTCCGCACTCCAAGAAGGTAGTTGCAAACATCATCTCCGTCCTGCCTATCCGTGGGCTTTTCCTCCTCTGCTCATTACTGTCTTCGTTACACCCCAAGGCTGGTAAGACCTGCAAATCAGACCGCACCTTATGATGGGTTAAGTTGTCTGTCTTCCACCAAAATTGGTCACTTTCAGACTGGGCTTTATCGAGAAAGCACCCATTTCCATCTCTCCTCCTCCTGCGACACCTTAAACAGGGAGCTTAAACTTCTTTCCCTTCAACACCTTGTTGTAGTAGATCCAGAAGAAGTCGCTGTACAGGACCGTCTGGATGAGTCCAGCCGTGATGGCGATGTAGTCGACCTTGTGGGACGCGCCCTCGGATATGTACCGGTAGATCCAGTTGGGGATGTACAGCGCGCGGTACAGGCCCAGCGCGAACAGGTAGTGCGTCGTGATCGTCTCGGCCTCGCCGGTGCGCTGCAGCATAAACAGCTGCGGCAGGATGGCCACGGACTCGAGCCAGATCGAGAAGGCCCAGAGGATCTCGGACAGGGTGTACTTGTACGGCCAGAGGATCGCGAGGATCGCCGCGCCGCCGAGGAGGTACTGCACCCGGAAGGTGTCGAGGTTGGGGTCGTTTGTCGGCTTGTACGTGTTTGCCATGAGGTACAGGATGTAGCCCTGTGATGAGATGAAGAGGATTTTGAAGATGATGTTGTACAGACTTGCGGTCTGGAAGAGGTCTGGAAGAGATCTGTTGTTAGCAGCTTGTTGCGCATGCCGGATAGCTAATCATGAGAATAGTGCGCCTTACCAAGGTATCGCGTCACGTAGACTAGCAGGTAAAGCGCTTGTGACTTGAATGAGATGCCGGAACAGCTCTGCAAGCGGGTTGTTAGCATCATGCACAGAGCCGACAATAAGCTACCGATTACGAACATGTAATTGAAGCATCTTGTGGAGGAGGATCCCAATGGATGCCAGATGGGAGAAGTCCCCCAGGACTCGGAAGAGGTTGAGAACCATGGCGTCGGCTCGAGGATGCCTGGTCCAATATGCGGTTGAGGTTTGCAAAGCTGCTATGAGAGCAGCACCGTCGAAGCGTCGTCAAGGCCGTAGTGGTGTTGTGCTGTGTGGAGGGAGCAACTTAAGCTTTCGCCTTGTAGGGATGGAAGCTCTATCTGTGGAAAGGACACGAACGCGATTTGGACCTGCATTGGCGTGCATTTTGCGGTTGAACTGTGACGTACTTGGCCAATTGCAAGTGTCAGACAGCTGCCAAGAAAACTTCTGCCGTTGAAAAATGTTCCAAAAAGGGTTAGGGTTGGCGGTGGGGAGATGCAGATTTCTCAACAGCCGCGCGATCGTCACGACTGCACTCCTACGGCGTTGAAACAGATACTGCAAAGTACCTAGGTATAGTTGATCACAGTTAAAGGTACCACATAATAGAGCAAGCATTGGGATATCATGGACATGTAGGTTCATCAAGGTCGTGGTATCATTTTTCCATTGACCCCGAGTAGCCTTCCATTCCTATGCCGATGAGATGTATCAGCTGGAATTGTGCATTGAGCGACCTAGCTTTTCCTAACTAGATCGCATCGTAAGAGCAAGCGATGCAAACCAAACCCGTAACACCTGAGTTCCAGAGGCCGAATGCATTTCCCTGCTCACAACGTGACAGTCCACTTTTTGGATATTCCACCTTCCTATACACCGCAAACACTTCCAACCCTCTACTTGTGGAGCTTGCGCTGGTAGAAGGCAAGCTCCTCAC